GTCTAAAGCATCTTTTAAACTCATAAAGCTCGATTAACACAGAGCTGGTTGAAATAGAGTGGGAGTTTAGCAGTTAATAAACAGCCCCGTCGAGCCCATCCTCACCGCTAGAGCACTGCCGCTTCAATAAGCCTCTGCCATGTTAGTTTTTTCTCTCCTCTACCACAGAATGCCAGCCATATCTAATTGGCCCATCTAATGTTCTCCTCCACCAGCGTGTGTGTGTGTATGCTTATAAGTGTGTGCGCACATGCACCACAGAAACCATCTGTTCACAGTGAGCGAGCATGAGTCAGAGACTAGATCTGAGCCATGGCATCTGGGGTACGGCATTCACTCTCCTCTCTATGCAGATCTCCGCATGCCTCGCTTTCCGCTCCTTTTCCCCCCGTCTTCCTTCCTCTCTCCCCTTAGCTCATTTTGACTCATTGAATTTGCTTTCACCGCTGCATCTCCCTTCAGCTCTTCTTCTCCCCTCAGCTCCCTGCTCGCTCCAGCCCGCCCTTCGTTTGATTTCTTACAATATTTTATTATCGCAAGACAAGACAAATAGAGCTGATAATACACAGTTTGTTTTGGCGATTGAGTTTCTGTCATGGAGTCGGTGTTGCTCAAAGGCACAGGCTTAATCAACTGTCTTCTGCTGGAATCTTCTCTCAGCTATGAAACAGAGTCTGTCAATCACAGAGGAATTAACAGCACACACCCCTCTTTCATGTGCGGATGCAAGAGGGGTGTCTTCAATGCAAAAGCACGCAGACACACACACACACACACACACACATGAAACATCTCGGGAGATGTCAGCCACTGGGCTAAAGCATGGATTGAATTAATGGCTAATCAATGCCATGTAGAGTAAGCTATGTGCCTCTAGATACTCTACTCTAACTCATACATATTTCCATGTATACTTATATACAAACCGCTGATAAGAATCAATTATGCCCTAATTCCAATTAGCTCTAATAGTATCAAATAATTGCAAATAATTTTCATTAATTTCCCCAGTTTCCTGATGCTGTATGACTCTTTTTTTCATCCCACTGTAATAATAAAGTTGAATGGCTTATAGTCGAACAAGCCATCAGCTATTTTTACTGAAGCTACTATCTACGCTAGTCCTGCACCGTACACACACACACACACACACACACACACACAACCCACTGAGCTGGAGGATGAACTACAACAGTGGGAAGTATAAACTCCAGGGACATTCCTCTAACCCACTTTACTAGTGCCCTGCAATCATTTCCCAAACGCGTTACTCCTTAATGATTTCTTCTATCAGTACCATCCAGAGCACTAACGGAGTCCGTTTTGCTCGTTGATCAATGGGGAATGCTTCTCTCTGCACAAGTAGGTACTAGGTTGCTGGAGCTCCCCTGACATCCTTGACAGAAGGATGTGAGAATGCATCTGTCAGTCTTTCTGTTCTTTGATCGAAGCTGGAGCGTGGTGAGATGGGGCAAAGATCCCAGAGCAAAGGAGGAAAATCAGGTATTGCAAATCTCTCTCTACAAATGAGTTTGTGCAGAAACACGGACCAGTCTCTCAGAAAGTGCCGTGAGCTATATAAAGATTTCTAAAGGCGTTTTTTGGGGGGTAAAACTGACAAAATTTAAAATTCAAATTGAGGAAAGGCTTCGGTTTAAATGAAACGTCAGTCTTCCTGTATTTTGACAGCTTTAATATTTTATTGAAAAAACCCATATTAGCTAAATCTCTGACTAATGTTTGATACAGTTGTGGTCAGATGTTTATATACACTCATCATGTGCATAAATGTCACAGTAATTACACAAGTTTGAATTTATTATGGATTTTCTCTAAACCACACAGGGTCAAAAGTATACATACACTCACTTAAACCTTTTAATAAGCATGCCTACTAATGTCTCATTAGTAATCATGACTGACTGCATGGCTGACTTTGGCAGGACTCGTTGGATTGACCAGAGCACACAGAGTCATAGGAAGATCTAATATGGAGAACTGTAGATTTACACAAGTTGGGAAGGTCTCTTGGAGTCATTTCTACGCAAATGCAGCTTCCAGCATCATCAGTTCAAACAACTCTGTTTAAGTACAAGTTATTTGCATGTATCACAACTTCGTCAAGGTCTGGAACAAGACACAAATTGTCACCCTGAGGTGAGAAGAAGTGCTTAGGATGTTTGGGAGCAACCCAGAAACTGACAAGGCTGAAGTCTGCAATGAACTGGGAAATGCTGCAACACCTACATTCCTTTACACAGTAAAGCAAGTTTTACATTGCCATGGACAACTGAACCCAACTGAAGTTTGTAGCTGCCCACATAAACAAACCAAATGCCGGAGAACGGTTTTATGGCCAGAGGAGACAAAGATTAAGCTATTTATTTACAAGAACTAGAAGGTATGTTTGAAGGACAAAAGTGAGGCATTCAAATCTAAGAACGCTGCAGAAACTGTCATGTGGATTAGAGAAACTCCTAAATACATTTATTGTTGTGGTTTTAAACTCATTATACATATAAATGTATGGCAACTCACCCTAATCTCGCAAAGAGAAGAGCTAGTATGACTGTGAAACTTATCCCCCCAAGAAAGTAAAGTGAAGTAAGACAAAAAGACATCAGACAACCTTGTGTTTAAAGCTCATCAAGTGCTCACACAGCAGGAAAGAAAAAGGAGGATCTGCAGTGAAGCCCGGTTTAGTCTCGGGGGTTCAAAAAGGGCCCAGAGTTCAAATACTTCACTGATAAAGGCCACAAGCACCACGCAGAGTCAAAAGTGGAAATAAATGTTTCTGCTCTCCCCTTCTGTCTCCCGCACTGCATGCCACGTACAAACACACCAACAGACACACACATAAAACTTAACATCAAAGGACCTTAATCTTCCTCCTCTCACGTCTATCATCCTCTATTCCATTTTAGCTTCACCTTACGCTGCAGCCGTTCAACAGCAGGAAGAGGAATATTCTGCTGCAGGCACTACTTTTAACAATTTCTAGTCTTCTCTGTTGTCCTGGCAGGTGCTGCTACACTTTCTGAGTATATTTGATGTATAAAGGTTTAACTGCCTAAGGAGTTTTGACCGACAGGTGATTGGCTACTGCACATTAATACTAAGAGCTTTTTAAATAGACAATGTGCCAGCAAGAAAGATCATGTCACATTGTGTTTGTTCTTCTCTGATTTAGTAGTACAAGTGTGTCATTACAGTATGTGAAGAGCTGCAGTGTGTCCTGATGTAATTAATGAATGTTTGCTCAGCAGAAATATCTTAAATCAAATTTCACTTATGTGCGACATTATTTGAAATATTTTATTTTAAGAAAAAAACTGTAGAAATGAAGGTTTTATATAAAATGAAGAATGTAAATTGATTACTTTTGATCATTATCCTATTAGAGCACTTAATTATGAACAAATTTTACCATCTAGGTGTTGATTTGAGGTGAAGGATTTGGAGGTAGTCCACTTTATGCAATGCACCAGTGCCACGGCGAGAAAACAACCCATTATTTGTTCACTGTGGAAAGTGATGCTGATGAATCAGCAGTTTCCAGTTCATAACAGGCTTGAGTTTTGATGGTTGTTACTGAACATCCTAACCAGTTTTCTCCCATCTACGGGTGACAGTTTGGGTCTTCTCCCAGACCTTTGCCAAGTGGTGACATATCCACATAAGTTGTACTTGCAGTTGTTTAAATTGAGGATGCTTAGATGTATAGTTGCTTAGAAATAGCTCCAAAAGACAATAAATATTCACGAATAAAGGATTCTTAAAATCACTGATTTCAGCTTGACACACATACACGTGCCCCCACTCTTAGTCAGTAATAGTGCTATTTCCTTCATCAATACGTACAAAGTTTAAAACAATAAAAACATTTTTTTTCGCCTGAAGCACATAGGCTTTTCAAAAAATAAAACCTCCCTATTTATGCAGCTTTGTTTAAAAAAAAGAAGAAAAAGATAAACACATTCTGCTTTGGAAACCCAGAGGGATTCCTCTTTTCCCTGTTGCACTGCAGAGAGCCGTTCCCTCAGTACTGCACAGTTTGTGTTCACTTTTTAACCAATGGCAAAGAAAAGACAAGGATAAAAAAAAAGGATGAGCACAAGGGGGGAAATGAGGGAAAGGAGCGATGACATAACAGGGGGCCTGATGTGCGTGAGAGCGAGGCGCTTACGTCAACTGTAACTGGGAGAGGAAGAGCAAGCATTTCCTATGTAGGTCACATTAAATACACATGCAGCCATCACAAAATTCAGCCAACTATCTAACCAGTCTGCCAAGCAGCACTGGGATCACAACTGTAAATTCTTCCAGGCCCCTGCTACTGTGAAAATGAAAGCTATTCACACAAGCATTGCTGTTATCTCTGCTAATGCTGACAGAATCTGCAGCACAGACCCAGTTACAGTAAGAGCCTGTAAAATTACTGGTAAGTCTGGGTAACGATGATGTGTGCTGTGTCGTTTTGACAAACCTCTAAGCGTAAGAATGGAAAGACCAACGTGGCCTGTGCACAAACCTATTGATGATAAAACACTAATGCAAATTGACAGCTACACACTGCACTGCTAGTGACTATAATCTGATTTTTCTTTGGTGTCCTCATGTGTTATGGAAGATGTGCTCTTTGAATCTGTGTCTCTGCACACGATAATTACGTTGATATTGTGTGTGAAAATTCAGAGTGAAGGATAAATTGCAGGAGGGGTGGAACTCAAAGAGAAAGCAAACCCTAACATAATGCATGTGGGTGGGGGCTGTTTATGCAAACTATATTCATCAGGGAAAACACAGTGGAAGGCAACAAAAGCGCTTAAGTGCTTATCACTCTTAATGTATCATAATGTGGTGATAAAGTCGGCATTAAAGTTAACAGGCAGGCATTCGCGTGACGTGAACGTGGCATCATAGAAAAGCAGACGCGTGCATGGAAGGGCCTCTATCTGACGCGTGGTAATGGTGGTGTCAACAGATTTGAGCTGACTCACGGTGAGCTGTTCTGCAGGGGTCACTCTGTGTGCTGTCAGCAGAATGGGCCGAGGAGACAGAGGACACGCTGGAGCTCCGGACGAAGCCAAATGCCGCCAGGCGGCCCGCAGGCAGGCGGCTGGAGCTGAAACCTGGGGGGCGAAGACCCGACTGACTTGCTTTGGGAAGCAGAGACCTGCAGGCCGCTGCAGCCTGGGGCTGGGCTGCTGCTGTCGTAGTAGCGGGTGGGGTGGCAGCCTGGTCATCTGAGAATCAAGCATAAATCATGTTATCTCATGTGTATTACTGAGAATTCTAAAAAACGAATCAAGACATGTGCAATGAACTGAGAAAAAAAGAACTACTTCACTGCATTTCATCATATCTGGCTCTACTGCATTTATGCTCCTTTTATCTAAGTTGCAACAAATGAATCCTGATATACAGGAAAGTGATTTTGTGTACAGATGTCTGTGTGTGTGCATGTATGTGTGTGTGTTAGTACTTATTGACTAAACTCATTAGGCAAAATATATACAAGAAGCTCAACAGTTGTGATGTTTATCCCCCTGTGAACCATTCATTATCCTGTGTTGACTAAGCTCTCAGTGGGCACCAGGAAGTTCATCATTCTATGACTATGACTGCTGCGCCAAGTAAATATAATAAGTATACACACAACAACCTGTGAACAGCTGTGTTTGGCTCTGCTGGTGATTGCAGACTGGGCTACTGGCCAGCGGTTTCTCAAATGCCAGCGCTATCATGGTATTCAATGTGACACTCACAGATTAGGTCATTGTTAATATATCTATCTAACCCATAACCTTACTGCCTTATTATCAGTAACCCTTCAAAGTTATCTCGAAGACTAAAAGCAGTCGTTTCCAAACTTGAAAGGTATGGAAGGTAAATTTTAAAAAAGAGAAACTATTGTTATTGAAGGACAAAAGGAAAATGTTTGGAATCAAGGAGAGAAATTGAGGTTAAAAAGGTAATCACAGCCTCATATAGGAAGCTATTGTCAGGGAACGATTGTGAGAAATCCTCTCTTTGCTGTAATCTATGGTTTCCAATGGCAATACAGATGAAATGTGAAGGCATGAACAACAAAGGCTACACACAAATATACACACAATGGGCAGTGGGCAAATCCCCAGGCCATGGATAAAAGCTCCATCTTGGCTGCACTAGCCTGCAGAACAAGGTCTAGATCCTGGGTGGAAGAGGAGCTTTATCCCCTGCTGGCTACAGAGATAAGGTAGGCAGCCCTCATTTCCTCTCCATTTGGCACAGCTGCATGTGCCAGTGCATGCTATGGGGGCAACCACATCGTGAGGACAAGAGAAAGAAAGAAAAACTTTGTGAAGGAGAAATAAAACTCTGTTGGAACAGAGAGGGGAAAACCCGGGAGAAAAATTAAAAAAGCTTCCAGTCTAGCTCCCTTCCAGCATCATCAATGCTGCTGCTCACACTTGTCATGTCCTCCCTCGATCCTTAGCGCCCGTCTGTGTGCCATGCGGTCTGTTCATTAGGTTGGAGCTTGCTCCTCTAGAGTGAGAAGGTCAGGATCATTCAAGATAAATGGTCTCATTTCTATTCTATCCTCCCAACCCCCACTCCTCTGTACTCATTCACTCTGAGAGACAACGGAGAGAAGTGAGCTTGGCAATCATCAACTATAGCCTAAATACCACAGCCGCAGACTGCTTGTGAATATAGAAAGCAGTAACCGGTGTCTTTATTCCACACATCTCAAAGTTCTCTGTGATAAAGTCACCATCAAAAAGCTTATATATAAAGGTCCTTTAGGCTATAATTGTTTTCCCTTAGAAAACCCTAAGAGTTTTGCCAATGCTAAAGACGTGAGCAAAACCATATTTCCGTCCACTGCCTTTGAATGAAAGCAAGGACATTAAGTAATTTAGGCCAGAAAAATTCAATGGGATAGGCAGCTGGGAAAGGTGCAACAATCGCCAGTCTTTTAGAGTCAGGTCAAGGTGAGACACAAAAACCTGCACCGATTACCTCCACTGAGTCTGAAATTCCATGTAAATGTAACACCTGAGTTTATTACAACCTCTGCAGCAGAACATGCACAAAGCATCAGGATCACTGCTTTTAGAGTAGAGTGTCAGCACGAAGAAGCTGTGGTTGCTACAACACATATGAGAAGAAGGTCCTTATTATAAAAACAATACAGTATTTAGACGTATCTATATAGCAATTAAGTAAGTAGTTTGAGTAGCTTGACAGCTACACAATAACTTTATAGCATAACTACTATAATCTGTGTGACACAGAGAGATTTCCTCTTCTCTCACATGTTGTTATTCACAGCGATGAATGAAATAAAGGGGTGGGGGGTAGGGTGGGGGGTTCTAGTTAGTGTTTTCCCAGGAGACTGATGAGAAAAAATGAAAAACTCAAATAATTTCAGCATTTCAGGTGCCGTTTATCCAACCATGCAAAGGGCATGGAAGATTCCAGAAGGAAGATAGTGACATCACTTAAGTGTTAATTGCTTTGTACTTCAAAGGCTTTAGTTCCCAGAGGGCCAAGCGGCATGTAGTTGCTATGCATATGTATTAATAAGGATTATGATAAGGAAGCCCAGCACATCATGAAACTATGCTGATCAACTGTGCATGTTCAGTTTTGGGTATGTATGTATGTATTTTGTGTATATATGTATATATTAAAGCACACATGTAGATGTACAAAATCTCTCCGGATGTTATCAGTTTGTGTCTGCGTTGGCACCCTCAGCTACACAGCAAATCAAACATGCATGGGAGTGATAAATGACACAGCCTGCCAGCAGTGTGCAGGATGATGAGAAAATTTTAGACTCCAATATTGCATTAACAGTTGAGCTGTGACTTAAATCTGAGTTCGGCAGCCAGAGATGCTATCTGAACCCTCAGAATTGGAAATTTTTTGTGCGCGAAGAGGAAAATGTGAGCAAGTAGTTATTTATTTATTTGATTTTGGTGATGGCAGCGTACTGGTGTGGAACGAGTCCCCTCAGAGTGTCTCTAAAAGATTCCCAATCAGATCAAAATTAATCTCAGAGAACGCATTTTAATGAGCTGCCTTCATCTCGGGCCAAGTTGATAAGGGGAGGAAAGGGTCTCAAAACTGCTTGGTGCGGCAGAGGAGAAGAAAGGTAACGCAGCATAAATTTTGGGTTGCTGAAATAGAATCTGACATGAGCTCAGATGACTCAAAAGAGGTCATTTACAGTTGCTATCCTTGCTGCTTTCTGTGTGGAAAATTCAGATCTGGTCAAATGTTTAATTTACCTGTATTATCCGGGTCTTTCTGATTAGTTGCTGGGGTGACAGGTTGGACCAGCTGGCTGAAGACTTGTGTTGACCTCTGACCTTGACTAGGTCCTCTGCCCTTGACCGCGATCGTAGCCGTTCTGGTGACAGCTCCCAGTCCCAGACGCAGACCTCTGCCAGACCGCAGGAGACTGCCACTCCCTCCTGCCTGAGCAGCCGTCCTGCTCTGCAGAGCGTCCTCAGCGGAGCAGCCTTTCAAGCTGACGGATCTTCCAACCTAGAAATCAAAATCACCAAATGGAGTCAAATGCCATCAAAATAACTGACATGCTGTGTTTTCTGAAGCCATTTCTGTGCAGTTAAATCACATAAGAGCTTTCCATTTTTCATTGCAGCATTTCAAGTATGGGCCACACTTAAATTCACGACTAAGATAATAACAGCGTTTTCTTTTGTTTTTTTAACATTTGTGTGTGTTTGCTTTAAAACCCCCTTCAGACTTTCACCCACGTTTGTTAGCAACAATGTCTGGATACTGTAGCAGCTTTAATTTTGTGCAAAACGCACCCTGTAATCTAATAGCAGCATGATGCTGATTATTGAAAAAAAGAAGTATTTCTATCCTCAGCTTGGAACTCTGCTGCATGCTTCTTTTTCTTATATTGTGAGTAGAAGCAATCAAATCTGATGAAAAATGGAACCCAGCAAATCAGATGTTATTAACTCTAAATGAAAATGTAACAGAGTCCTGCAGGGAAACTGGAAGCTGCGGAATAAATTTGAAATGTTGACACTCTCAACAGTGTTACTGTGTTCTAGGCAAAATGCTAACACACATACATTGTCATGTGAAGCACTGAAAACTAACTCGTCCCCCGCGGACTTTGCACTTCAACAAGCATTAAATATTTATTTCCCCATGTTCGTGTTTGACTGCGTATATAAGTATGAATGCAAAATGAATTTATTGAATCAGTATCAATAAGAAATAGATTTAGAAGCAATAATGAAGGTCCTCTGAGAGTGATCATAAAATGCAAAAGGCCTGTTATCAATTATACATGGTTTACTAGGCCTATCAGCATGATGGAAGCATTAACATGCTTAGTCAATAAACTGTGCGTAAGACTCATAATCAAAGAAAGACTTAAAATCACATCTCTACAGTAAACAGGACTCACCTCTGATGGTGTCCCATAGAAGTTGTCTGCCTTGCTGCCCAGTTTTGGAGGTGCTGTGTGGCTATGGGCGTGTACGGGTGGAACAGTGTTTGTGTGTCCAGGAGCCCTTATACTCCTATTCAGTATTCCTGATGGAAAAATGTTTGTCTGCATCTCCTGGCGGTACTTATCATAAAGCAGATTGGAGGCACAAAGAACTGGGGCTCCTCGGGTTTCCGGATCAGGCCTTGGGGGCTCTTTAGGTGTGTCTTTAAAAGATGTGGGTGTTTGGCTGTGGGTGCATGCGGACAGCCTGGATGGTAGCGAGGATACCTGATACGGTCCATCAGAAGCCTGAGGCTTAAACTGAGGATTCTTTCGGACGTAGGTAATGATTTTGGGGCGAACTCCTTTAGGTTTCAGTTTAGGTGATGGCGAGCTGTCTTTGGGGGAGTTGTTGTTGTTAGAGCTGGGGGAGCTTTGCTGGTTGTTAAGAGGCGCTTTGGGGATTCCACTTGTGCTTATATTAGTTTTGACTGGTGCTCTCAAGCAACTGTTGCCATAGCCCTGAGCTGATGTTGATACAGCAGGGATGTGTCTAACCACTCCAGAGACATTCCTAGAAACGAGGTACATGGAGGGTTGCCTGCATGGTGAGCCCTGGGGTGTCCTGAGAGGGGAGTGTGGAGGGGTTGATGACCTGGATTCAACCCCAGTTCTGTTGGGACTAGAGCAATTCCTTCTGTATGTAAGCTGAGTCTGGGGTCTCTTCTCTAAGGTGGAAGGGTTTGAGGGACTGGAACTGTGGCGTGCACTTGTAGCTGGCTGTTTTTCCGCTGGTGGAGTCTCCCTTTGGGATGTCTGGCTGGGTTGCCTCAGCTGGGAGACTACAGATGTGTTGTACAGGTGGGAGAAATCAGATGGTTCACGTAAAGATGTTTTTGTAAACTTTCTGTTTGACCCATTACTGTGTGGATCTGCAGAGAGGTTAAGAGGAGACGGTTGCCCTGTCTCAGTTTGCTGAGTGTTGGAGTCGGCACTCCTCGCTCTTCCCATCTCCGTCTGACAGAGGGGCCTCACAAGCTGTTGGCGCCGTGGTGGCAGCACCCTCTCCTCAAATCCAGCCTTTCTCCTTTGGCCTAGCCCTCCATCAGAGGACAAGCCATTTCTATGACTTCTCTCATCTTTTCTCTGATCCTGGTATGAGAATGCTGGGTTAAGGGTCTCCTGAGGATGCATCGGTGGGGAGTTCTGATTGGCATCTACAGGGGCTGCCCTTCTTCTGTTCTGGGCTGAGGTAGTGTTTTGGGCATTGTGATAAGGGTTGGTCTTCGACAGAGAGGCGAGAGAAGTTTCTCCATCACCATCCAGAGCACTAGACAGGCTTCCACTGAGGGAAACAGCTGACAGGCTGGAGACAAACACATTCGTCTCAGACTTAGACTCCTTCAGACCTCCCTTCCATCTTTCTCTGCCTGACCTGGTGTCCTGTTTCTCTGCTGTCACACATGCGTCTAGCTCCTCAGTGCTATGACAGGCGATCCTTTTCTGAACCTCTTTGCCTCTCTGAATTTTACTCTCCACTCTGTTGCTGTCATTGTCATTTCTCCTCACGCCGGTAGAAGCAGAGCTGGCTGTTGAACTCGATGATATTGACATGGCACCTTCATCTTTTCCATCTTTCATGCTTCCACAATCGTCCTCCTCCTCATTCTCCTCCTGCTTCCTGCTTCCCAGGTAAGTATGTATCTCCTGACGTGCCAAAAGCTCATAGTCAGACTCCACGCATTGCTGCTCTGATCCCCAAAACTCTAACTTTTCTGGGGAGTCGCTCTGAGAGACCAAGGGAGGAATAGAGCTTGTGCCGTATCCCGTGTCCTCATACAAACCTCTTCTTTCTTGATCACTGATTGAGGATAACTGATTGGCGTTGTCATCTCCAGACTGAGTGAACTGGATCTGGGTTTTATTTCCAATCTTTTCTCCTCTGTCAACACTGACCCTCAGGCCTTGGATACTAGTTGGATTGCTCATGTTGAATTGATTTTTGTCACACTCAAAGACACCTGCAGGGTACTGAGGCCATTTATGGAGCTACAAAAGTTACTTCCCTCACTGCCTTTTCTCTTCAGGGTCTGATGACGGCTCTTTTGAATAAGCCAGGGACAAAATGTCATCTCATGAAACCTTTCTCACTTCACCTTTCTTATTTTGCATTTACGGCGAGTTAAAAAGCGGTCTCTGATGGTTTTTCACCACGATGAAGGTCTTTCAATCTGAAATAAAAGACAACAAAGGGAACTGTCAGGAAAAAAAAGCATCAAGTACGCTTAATAAGCAGCCATTCTGCACTTCCCCCACAGAGTCACTTAATTTTTTTTAATATTCAGCCTGCTCTGGGTAGCAGCAATTATGAAATCAGCTGTGTACAGCGAACCATTTTCTGCTCTTAATGTATGACTCATATCAGTGGATAGCCATTTGAAAAAAACTGGTTGCCTATGAGAGAAGAATCACTGGAAGTATAACAAGAAAATTACAGTTTTAATACTACCTTGTTTCTATTTCAGAGGCATCAGAGACTTTACAAGTAGAGGAGAACTCTTGACTACCACTTAGAGATTTCTTGTTTTATAGTGGGTGGTTGCAAGGCAGTTTAGCATAAATGGGGCCTATGGAGCTGGTGCCATGTAACATGCACACAATTACAGCAGTTTGCAAGTTTTATTGTGTGTTCAAAAAGAACTTGGAGGTTTTAACTTATCATTTTTATGAGAATTAGATATTAGTTCTCTAAGTAACAATGTTCATTGTAATTTCAGGCATCACCAAAGTCATTCTAGACACAAGTCTGGCCACTTGGCAGTCATCTTGAAATGCCTCCAGATACTTATTTTAAAACATTATCCAAATTATCTTTAAGTTCAATGGTTTCAATGGACATTTTGTCCCAGTAGCTAAACTTCTACCAGCAAATTCACCCTTGAATTTCTGGGAGTGCCATGTCAATTTGGAACCTACAAACAGCCAACTGATCTAAGTCACGTTAAAGGCCAGTCCGTGAAAATATTGTCAGACATAAACCGGTCCGTGGCCCAAAAAAGGTTGGGGGCGGCTGCCCTACAAGAGAGAGAGAGCAGAGACATGTCCAGAGGTGGTGAAACTAAGTAAGTACTTCACCTAAGAACAGTGTTACGTTCATTTGTCTAGGGCTGCTACGCCAGTATCTTTTGGATGCAAGTGTTGCATTTTGTACTCTAGTTTCTAATATGCTGAAATAATTATATTTCAGCTCAACAATGAGCTAACAGATAACACTACCCAGCTATGTATAATCAGTTAAAATCAATATCCACCTGCGACACTGAAGCGACAGATGCATTTTGAATCGGTAATTTACATAAAATTTAAATAATTCTGTATAATGGGTCTTTTACATTATGCATTTTATGTGTATTTTGAGGCTAAACATTGCCTGTTTCACTGAATTGAGCACCAAAATCTTTGTTTCACTATTTTAAAAACCAGTTATTTTATGCAAAACAGCATCCATAAAGCGCATCACTGAGGTAATAGCAATGTTCTTACTGTGATCAGCACGAGTACAGGGACAGTTACTGTAGATGTTCACTTTAGTTGTGAGAGATATGTGAAGAGAGAAGTACAGCGTGTTTGCATGTAAGTGAAGGAATCACCCTGGGGATGGTTGATGAAGGCAAGTAAGAGGAAGGCGGAAAGGGTGAGAAGTGATTTGTAATGAGCTTTTTTTTCCTCAAGAGACAATGTGAAATAGAAAGCAAGATGAGAACTGGGTGAAAAGACTTGTAATAAAAGCTTTTCCGATCATTAAGTTATTATAGAACATATAACACAAGCAAGCAGTGTCTCCAATATGTTCAAAGGCAGGCATCATCCTAACATGAAAAAGATGAAAATTAGGTGCAGGGGTCGTTAATGGCGAGGACCAGAAAGAGCAGTTCAGAAGGGATAAATCCATGCGGTATGTCTGATCACTACAGGAGGGTTTCCACTCTCCTCTCAGCATGTTTTCTGTAGCGGGTGGATGTAGTTAATGGCATGATTGGACTGTACACAACAACGGCATGTCCTGCTGCATTTAAAATCTGCAGTCTCTAAAACTGTGTTTTAAATACTTGCGTTAGCCTTTAATGCACAAATGAGGCCGTAGAGCTGAAACATATTACTACATATCATATTACGAGATGAGTTAAACATGCGGTATAAAACACGCACACTCAAACGCTCTCGAAATAAACACTTCCGGCTGTCTCCTTAAATTTCTCCATAATTATACGAGAGCTCTACGAGGAATTCTCTTTCTGCCTTGAACCAGAAGCATTAAAACCATTGAATATTAATGGTTTCAGCTCCTTTGCCCTTCAGGGAGAGCATCTTTTGCTCACTTGTTCTGTAGGCCTGTTTCCTGCATCATAGAGAAAATTCATACAAAACAAGCGTCAGATTTCAATCAATTGCCGTCAAAACTGTCTGGATCAATTCATCTGTCTGTGCAGTCAAAGAATGAAGTAAAATATGTCTTAAACCATCACACTGAATGTTTGAGTAGCAAAGTATGAATAGCTCTCCCACCTTCTAATTATATGTGCAGCAGGGGTGTCTGTTCTCATTAGCGAGTGGCTTTTCCACGTGCCCCGTGACAGCTCTCACTGCCTGTGGCACGTTTGATATTCCACAAAACCTAGAGAGCTAAATTCTCTCTAAATGTAAAGGACAGGGGAAAGATTCACATGGAAGTTCAATTTCCTACAGGTTTTCTTAGAAGTAATTTGGAGATACCATCAAAGTTAACCTAATATTCTATTTTTTTTAAA